TGTTTGGGGATTTCCTTTCTTGTGAAATGCCTGTATATGTCTTCTGCCCATTGTTCTATTGGATACTTTGCACTTTTCTCCTCTGTAGTATATATATATATAATTACATATATATGTATATACTCCTACAGATATATATTCTTTATATATTATTTACCAATCCTTTGTGAATATATATAATGGCAATATAGTTTTTAGTCTGTGTCCTGTCTTTTCATCTATTTCATATTTTAGAATTTAATTGTAATTTTATGATATATGATTTTTGAGCTTATTTTAAAATACCTTGATTCAAAAAACATTCTCCATAAATTTCCTCCTAACTTTATTTTGATTTTTGTAATTAGGTCTTTAATCTATGTGGGATTGATTTGTATGAAATAAGGGTACACGTTTATGGTTTTGTTTTTCCATAACCAATTTCCAGAGGCCCACTTTTTCAGTGTAACCTTTGTCACATCTCAAGTATCCATATATGCATGAGATGGTTTCTGAAGTCTTGATGCTATTATACATATCAATCTGTCATCTATCTTGTGTATTCCTATAGCTTTATACCATCTTGATATATGGTAGCACAAGTCTCCCCTGCCTCCAAATATATAATAACTCTTCAAAACATTCTTGGCCATTTACTTTTGTATAATAGTTTAAGATCAACTTAAAATAACTTCTTTTTGTTCTTTATTAGAGCGACTGGAGAGAACTGACATTTTTATGATATTTAGTCTTCCTACCCATTCTTTCATTTAATTGGACCGTCTTTAATGTTAAATCCCTTTGGCTCTCACTTCTCACCCTCATTGCAACTATCCTTGCCCAAATCTTTACTCTCTTGTCTGAAATTCTGCAGTATAAATTTACCTCCTGCTTCCAAACTCACCACACTCCACCCTCCCCCTTTTAACTGCCAATCAGATTATGTCACAGCTAAGCTCATGACTCCCTAAGGACTCCCATCTCACTAAGAATACAAACACAAATCTCTAACCAGGGCCTAGGAGTACCTGCCTGACTTGGTCACCAGCAACTCCTCTGACCACATCTCAGCTTGCTTACTCAACTCAACCCACATAAAAACATGCTCCCACTTTGGACTTGTTCACATAGTCTCCTTTTCTTGTAATTCTATCCCTCCTGGTATGCAGAGAGCTCACTCCCTCACTTCATTCAGGTATTTGCTTCAATGTCACTTTATTTTTGAGAGGACTTCCTGCCCACTCTATCTAAATTATCAACCCTGTCCATGTCACTACTCCAACACAGCTTAACTTTTCTGCATAGCACTTACCCTGACCTGATGTAGCATCTGTTTCCTCCCACCCCTATCAGGATGTGAACTCCATGAGAAGGCAATACGTGAATGCCTGTCCTCTGTACCTACCTCATCTATCCACCGCGATAACTGGACGCTGCTGCTCTGCCGTGCACTGACTCTGTTGCAGGGAATTGGTTCGTTGTGTAAGCTCTCCACACAGTGCCTAGGATGCTGCCTGGTATATGGTAGCTCCTCAAAAATATTTGTTCAATGTGGTTTCATATTTTCTCCATAAGACTATGCATCTCTTCTGATACACTTATTTCTGGACTCCTTATATATTTTTTAGAAATGTGTATTTTCTACTTTTTCTTTTCCTTATTAATAGTTGTGTTTTTATGGAAGGGATAAAACATTATTCAAAAATTAGCTCGGTATCATTTCTACCTCTATTTATAGTCACACTGTTACTTCAGAGTGTTACTGTTTTTGTTTGTTTTTTTTTTTTTTTTTAGCTGAGCCATCCTGCCACCTGTTGGCAGCTCTAGCGGCTGCTCAGCTGGGGCAGGGGTTTGAACTGCTGTTGCTCAGAGTTCAAACTCCTGAGCGAGCTCTTAACCAACTGAGCCACTCGGCCAGCCCCAGAGTGTTACTTTAAAGCACCTAACACTAGAGATAAATGGAAGCGCATGTTTTAAATGTAGTATGTTGGTGATGACAATGATATATTATGCCATTTGTCATTCAAAGTAGAAAAAGAATTTCTGAATCTGTCATGCAAATGATCTCTATGGGCAATGATTTAATCCCAGTACAAAGACAAAAGGTTTGGGAGAGCTGACCTGGCCTCCTGGCAAATACAAGGTAGGCGGGAGGCTGCAACTCAGATTATCCTATTGAAATCTCCTCAAATTGTCCGGTTCTTTCCATTTATTTCACTATAGATCCAGAGCCACTATAGCTCCAGGCATTTCTGCCTTCCTACCTGCAGGTCTGTTAAGCAAGGGCAATTACTGTACGAAAAGGTCACAATTCCTTTATGGAAGATGCTGAATTCTAGGTCAGAAAACAGAGACATCAGTAATGAAAGGTTTGTCAGAACACAGGGAGGCAACTTCACTGAAACGGAACAGCTGCTGGGGGTGGGGGGTGCAACCAGGTACCAGAGGGAATAAAGTATATACAGAGTGTAAGCATTCACTTATTATTGCCTTTGGGGATATGTTTGGCATGAATCTCTCTGAGATCAATTTATGATTGTAGCAACACTACATTAAACAAAATGAAAAAGTCTTGCTCCAAAAGAAAAGTTGGCCTCATCAATGCTTAGTGCTGGAGCAGAGGACTGGCACCATTAAGGTGTCTATGGGATCTGCTGACCTTCAGAGGAACTTCTAACGAGTCAGCAAGATTGTGTTGGATAGATGAGGTAATGCTTAGTGAAGTGAAGCTTATTTTTTATTCAGTACATGTAACCTCAGCTTTGTTCAACTGAATAACCTCTGCTACTCTAATACTCAAAGTATCGATTGCCGTTGTAGAGCTTTGATATACCGTTCATTTTTAAAAGGCAATTATAGGGTGTCTCCACTTTGGTTATAGATAACCAAGTTATTCAGAGGATAAAAGGAGTTCCATGATATTGCAATGTAATTGAACAAACCCATGATTCTCTTTACCAGCACAGAAGACAAAGGGAAAAAGCAATATGGCAGTCTTTTGAAAAAAATAAATGATATGTACTACCATACATGAATTACTGAAGAATCATATTTAAATATGTGTTTTCTTTCTTTTCCCCCAGAAAAGTAGAATAAAGGAAATGTAATAAAGACTATTTCTATGAAGGTCTGCTCTTAAAAGAGCCACGTACCCCAAAATTAAATTCATGCTTCTTAGTTCTCACTTTCCCATAACATTTGCATAATTCAAACATGGCATTTTGCCAATTATCTCCAGTGTAAAAAGTAGGGTATTAATCACCTCTTTCAAGAAACAAAGTTCTTAAGAAGCAATTGATTACTGCTTGCTGGGGTAAACAGTAATTCTCCTGGGGATCTATTATTTATGGGATAAACCTTGAAGGGAAAAAAATCAATCTGAACACATTCATTGCTTTAATGGTCTTTGGAAGAACATAATCTTATTTTTTCCTTTTTTCTTCTCAATGTTAGGAACACTCATTTTCTTTCAGCAGTTTAGAGAAACCAGGGTCTGCAAACCACCAAAGTGCTCAGAGCCCTACAAAGATTTATAATGGATTGGCAACATACAATTCTGGCCTTGCTTCTTCTTTCAAAAGGCATAAAATATATCAATGATGAATATACACAAATATATGGATGTAGATCATGAGTGCATGTATACACACACACACACACACACACACACACACTTCTTACTTTCCTCATAAAAGCAAAATACTTTTTTTTTTTTCTGGAAGATTTAACATGAAATTCCAAACCTATACAAGGAAAAATAATCACATGGTAAAAACTTCAAATTAATACCCTCTTGGAGACTAAATTGCTATTTACCAGAGTAAATAATAGTTGATAAAAATAAACCTTTTACTCTGCTATAATTTTAAATATAAAAAGGCTGCAGAAAATAATCATTTATGATAAATCCAGGGAATAGAGAAACTTGAGTTCACAGATTCAATAAATATTATACATGCCAAAGTATTAAGACATTTATAAATTATCCTTTAGTTCAGCTCATGAAGAGTTGTTTCCATAGCAATAGTGAAGGGATAGTTAAAAGCCATTTTACCATTTCTGTAGCTTGTGGTGGTCATATCCTATCTATTTCCTTTTTTTTTTCTTTAAAGAAAAAAGTCTCTATGCACCTAAAATTTAATTAGATAATATTTGTACTTCCTTTCACCCTAATGCAAAATATATGAATAGGGCAATGTTGGATTAATCACCTCTATTGGGCATCAGCCAGTTTACTTTTTCCTCCTGCGACTCTAGTGCATCAAAAATTTAACATGTAACATCATCACTTCTTCTAACATTGGGATTCTTTACATTTTTATATCAAAATATGAAGGACCAATTCTTGAAGACATTCCCAACCCTCTCATACTCCCTTCCTTATGTGTATCAGTTAGAGTCCTGGCAGGAAACAGATGTCACACTCAATCAAACTGGATAATTAAAGAGAGTTTAACAAAGGGACCATTTATAAAGATATGACAGAAAATAAGCAAACCAACAAGAAACAGAGCAGGTGCCGCCCGAGGACAAAACAGCCAGAGTTGTTACTATCCTCAAACCACAAGAAGCAAACAGAAGTTATCAGAACCTGGAGAGGGTAGCTGAACAGAGAGGGCCACCTGTCAGGAGAGGTAGTCTTCAGTAAGGTGACAATAATAGCAGTCCCCTGGCAAAAGGGAATCTGCAGAATACACAAACTTAACCTCTTTCTGATATCCTGCCAGTGATCTCCACTGGTCAAACCAAGCCAGAATCCAGAGGACAAAAGAACCCATAAGTAAGGTTTATATAGTTCAGCCCTGAAGTAGAGGGCAGGGTAGAGAAGGTGATTGAGAAGACCAAGAGAGGCAGATGAAAGAATCCATCACATCCCGTACTTAGGCATATAATTTAGTAAAATTCACTTGTCCATTTTAAAATAGCATGGGAGGTTTGTTTTTTTTTAATCAGCAGAACTAGGAAGCAATTTGTATGTTAAAGCATCATGGGACAAAGGAACACACTAAACAAGACACTCAGACGTGTTATAAGGTAAGAGAAATATTTATTTAATTTTGCACGAGAACGAGCTTATACTGAACAAATTCAACAAAATGATATCAAGTGCAGTAAAACAAGGAAATAGGGATGACTTTTCCTGTTAGAAAATATTAAGTAACCATGCCTGTGCATTATTTTTTATCATTACAAGAACTTGTGTCAGGTTTCCTTTTAGAGTGTATACTGTACATAACATGTTATAGCTTTTTTGCTTCTGAAAATATAATTCATTCACTGCCTTACATTATATTTTTTGCAGTGAGGAACTTAACTGCTTCGTGAAGATTCTGATCTAGAGAAAAATTTTCTGCACCAGTGAAGTAGAGGCTTTCAAAACTCTGATGGGTTCGGGCTTTAATATCCAGGGGCCATGACGTCATGGTGTATATTCCAGACGCATTCTTCTACATGGTGATGTCAAACACAGTAGAGGCAGGATTCTGGTCTAGTTTTGCCCCAAGAATTTCCTTTTTATGATTTTCTCAAGCTCCACAAATTTCAGAATTCAAAGTTCACTCAGCTATTAACAAAGCTGCACTTAGCTGCCTACAAATCATCCACATTAAGTTTTAACTTTTTTATTTCATTTTATTTATTTTTTTGGTCTTTTTAATGAAAGAACATTCTTTGAACCGAAATCTCCTGTGAGACAGTTAACTTCACAGTTCCTGAAGGCACTGTGGATCCACTGAGCAACAGATGTGGCCATTCTAGGAAAGAAAGGGAGAAAAGAAAAGCATGGTATGAATTTTGCAGCCATTAGTAAATACTCACACTGATCAATTGGTACACACAAACTTAACTATTTGGTGTATTTGTTATTTCTGCATCCTTGGAAGTTCAATTCAATGGCCCAATCACTTTTCATGTCTCTAATATGGTAGAACTAATTATGTCCAATTATTTGTGGCAAATTGTAGGCTATCTTTATTTACCCCATGGCATCTTCTTACATCACATTTGTTCTTTTATTTATTTATTCACAAAATATGTATTGAGTATATTGAGTCCTGGATGCGAGGATACTGATGAATAAAGCAGACATGGTCACTACCCTTATAGGACAGGGCTTACAGTTTTTCTGGGGGTATAAAACTAATAAATACAAAGCAAACATGCAATAAAAAATTATGAAAAGTACTAGAAAGGAAACTAACTAGGTGGTGTCATGAAAATGATAAAAGATGGGCTACTTAGATTGGGTGGTGAGGGGAGAGTTCTCTATAGAAGTGATATTTAAACCAGACCTCAAGACAGCTGTATGAAAAGTTAGAGGAAGCAAAGGGAATAGTATGAGTAAAGGCTTTGAAGTTAAATGAGTTCTGTGTAAACTGAAAAAGGTCTGGATAAGAATTTTAAATTGGTGACAAAAACAGTGTTAGATGAAGTAGGAAAAATAGGCAGGGAATGGACAGATATGCATAATTAGTTTTTATAACAAAATACTTAATAATATAGCATATTACAAAAAGAAAAAAAACTTCATATCTTATTCTTTTGATTCCTTGAACATTTATTTTCTTCAACTAGCTAACAAATAATATTGATGATATTCTTATTACAATCGTAAGATGATACTACCCTTCTAGTTCCAGAGTGCGTACTCTGTCAGACACGATACCAGGCACTTTAAATACATTATCTAATTTCAAGCTCACAGCATTCCCAGTGGGTTCACTATTAATAGTCACACTTTTTAGATTCAGAAGCCGAAGATTAAAAAGCTTAAATATCACATCCAAAATCATACAGCTAATAAATGTTACATCTGGAATTAAAATTCAGGTTAGTCTGACTCTAAAACTCATCCTCTATTCAATATTTTCTCAGATAATTGACTTTAGGTCATTAAAATGTATTATACTTTAATATGATAAAATCAAAAGTGTCTGTTCCTATAAGATAAAACTTAAAAAAGAAAAGATTTTGATACTTTAGGCTTTGTGGAAGCATACCAAATAAGGAAAAATCCAGTCTATATCCATGAAAACTACTATGCACTTAACCTAATCCTCTTCCTTTATAAATTATTATTGAACAGAGTTCTTACTCTGAAGCAAGACAGAGTCTCAAACATCCCTTGGATCTCTAGTGGCATTTTAAAGCTTTTTCATCATGTCAGAGGCAGAGATTTTTTTTTTTACCATAATCTGGTTGCACAATCTTTCCTGATCTATTGACCCAACGAAATGAGGGGTGTACCAGTTCCTGAGAGTATCAGTTCCTCATATTGAATGACTTTTGAGCAGAAAGAGAGTTAAGGAATTTCTGGAGCCTTTTGCCACTGAGTATGTGAAAGTAGCATTCAAATCCTACGGGGGAGAAGTCATTAGTATGGTTCCAATGAGCATTTTTTAGGAAAGGACTGTATATTTTCCAAAATCCTCCAGGAATGTTTTTCTTATTCCATATCAATATGTTCTGCTATAACAAGATAAATGCTCTATAAACCATATCATTGGAAGCCTCTCAATTAGGGAAACATAGTTCATACATGAAAGATATTAAAGATACTAATAAAATATCTTGTGGGGTTCTGGTTTCAGTAATGGTATAGTTGTTTATATAAGACTAACCTTCCTATAGATAACCATAAAGTTGGACAAAAAATAAAAATAACTATTTGAAGCATGGAAAATGACACTGGAGGGGTTTCAATCTTTGTAAGAAGAGAAATGTACTTGTGACATTCATTTTTACTTGGCATTTCCCCTTAGGGTACTCCCCAGACTGTGCTGCTTAGGGTAAGTATAACTCAAACAGAAAGCTACAATCTGATAGGTCCCAGAAGTCAGAAAACAACTTTAAGGGAGGTTGGAGTAGCTGGAAATTCAGGAGGAAATATCTAGATAGGAGGAAGTGAGTCAGCATATAAACTTCCATCAAATCTTTGGCTGGGTTTTGAATTGCAGAGAAGGCTCTAAATAGACGGAGTCACAGTTTAAGGGTTGAAAAATCTGAGCAAAAATTTCAGGTGTTGCTTACAGTGTGTAGGAGTGTTTAAAACCTGTGTCCTGCCAAATTAGAAGAGATTAATAAACAAAGCAGGCTTTCCACTTAAAGCCCAAAAGGGCCATGATTAGGAGTAAAACAATGTCTCAAGATTAAGAGATTCACCTTAAAACAGGGATAAATCTGAAATAGACCCACCTAACCAGCATAAAGCCAAGCCTCCTTAAGTACAAGGTGATTGCCCAGTAGCTTGCAACCTACTAGAACAAAAATAAATGTCTTTGGAGGAAGCAAATAGAACATAGGCTCTATACCATATATTATCCATGATATCCAATAAACCATAGCAATTATTAGACATGTAAAGGAAAATCAGGAAAAGGTAAATACTAATTAATAGAAAAAGTAATGAATAGAAATGACTCAAAGATAATCCAGAAGGTGTAATTAGCAGAAGACTGGAAAGTATATTATAAAGATGTTTGAAGATGTAAAAAAATGGTCGTAATAAGAAAAAAATGATGGTAAAATTAAGAATAGAATTACCCTACGACCCAGCAATCCCTCTCCTGGGTATCTACCCAAAAATCGGAAAACATTTATCCATAAAGATATATGTGCTCTGATGTTCATAGCAGCTTTATTTACAGTGCCTAAGACATGGAAACAACCAAAGTGTCCATCGATAGATGATTGGATAAAGAAGATGTGGTATATATACACAATTGAATACTATTCTGCCATAAGAAAAGATGAAATAGTGCTATTTGTGACAACATGGATGGATCTTGAGATTATTATGCTAAGCAAAATAAATCAAGACAGAAAAAGTTGAGAACCATATGATTTCACTGATATGTGTTATATAAAACTGAAAACAACAAAGGAACAAGACAAACAAATGAAGAAACAAAAACTCATAGACACAAGCAATAGTGGTTACCAGAGGGTAAGGGGGGAGGTGGGTGGTAGATGAGGGTAAACTAGATCAAATATATAGTAATGGAAGGAGAACGGAGTTTGGGTGGTGAATACACAACATGATATATAGATGATGTATTACTGAATTGTGCACTTGAAACCTATGTAACTTTACTAACAAGTACCACCCCAATAAACTTTAATTTAAAAAAAGATGATAAATCTCAGCAGAGAAATGAAACTATACATAGAATTAAGTGGAACTTTTAGAACTGAAAAGGGCTGAAATGAAAAATGCAGTGGATGGGTTTAACAGATTAGAGATGACAGAAGAAACAGTCAGAAAATTTGAAGATAAAACAATAGAAATTATCCAATCCTTAAAACAAACAAAACATATTCAAAGAAAAATAGAGCCTCAGTGACCTTCAGGATAATATTAGACCATATAACATATGTACAATTGGAGTCTCAGAAGAATAGAACAGAGAAAATCTGGCAGACAAAATATTTGAAGTAGCAATGGCCTGATTTTTCTAAAAATTTAGAGAAAGAACATCAATTTAGGTATTGAAAAACTCAGGAAACACCAAGGAGAATTAAGACCAAAAAATATCACACCTAAATGCATCATAGTCAACTTCTAAAATCCAAAGATAGAAAGAAAATTGTGAAAGGAGACATGTGGGGGAGGGGAGAAATAGACATATTGCAGGAAGGAGAACAAAAATACAAATGATAGCTGAATGCTTATCTGAAAAAATGGAGACTAGAAAACAATACAGTATCACCTTTAGACTTCTGGGAACAAATTTGTCAATCGAGAATTCTAAATTTAGTAAAAATATCTTCCAAAATTAAAGACATTTTCAGATAAATGTAAGTTGGGTGAATTTATTACCAGTAGATCTACAATATGGAAAATGCTAAATAAAGTTACTCAAGCTAAAGGAAAATAACATCATATGGAGACTCATATATGTAAGAAGAAATTAAAAACACCAGAAATGGTAAATATGTGGATAAATATAAAATATAGTATTTTTCCTTCCCTTAATTTCCTTAAAAGATATTTGACTATTTAAAGCAAAAATGACAACATGAAATTTTAGGGTTTACAATGTACATAATTATAAGCCTAAGGGGATAGAATTATATTATTCCAAAATTCTTACATTTTACATAAAGTAATATAATATTAAATCTTATTATATTGTAATAAAGTAATATTAATATATTGTAATTTTCTAGACCAGCAACTAAAATAATAACATAGAGTTATAGATAAAAATCCAAAAGAAGGGCCGGCCGAGTGGCGCGATGGTTAAGAACTCGCTTGGGATGCCAGAGGGCCCCGGTTCGGATCCCACACATGAGGGCCAGTGACACTGCCCTCTACAGCTAAGATGCTGAACAACAGCTCAGCCTGGAGCTGGGGCTGCTGTGAGTCGCTGGCGACGGCGTAGGCTGCAGTCCCTGTGGCAGTGGGTTGCCATGGGCTACCGTGTGTAGCCAGCAGCCAGCGTGAGCGGCCAGCAGCCGCAGTGAGCGGCCGTCCAGATGCCGGCGACTGATCTGCCTCACCAGGGAAGAGTGCAATGATGGTGCCAACTTGGGCCAGTGAAGCAACGTCCTCCACAACTAGACTGAAGAACCAAAGGACACAACTTGTCTGTTCCCCTTCCCCCAATTCCCCAGCACTGTTCCCAGCCCCCCAATTCCCCAATAAAAATCTTTAAAAAAAAANCAAAAAGAACAATTAAAATCAAATAATATAAAAATATAAATAAACAAAAAGAAGGGAGGAATGCATGAATAGGAATATAAAAGTAAATGGGACAAATAGAAAACAAAACGTCAAAATGGTAGCCCTAAATCCATCAAAGTAAAAAATTACATTAAATGTAAAAAGACTAAACACTTCCATCAAAAAAATGAGATTGTCACACTGGATAAAAGAGTAAGAACTAATTATTCCTTATCTATAAAAAATGCACATAAATGTAAAACCATAGATAGTTTGAAAGTATGTGGATCAAAACATTATGCTGTGTGGCTAAATGAATACCAAATAAAATTGACTCCAAGCATAGAAGTCTTGCTAGAGATAAGAAGGGACATTACATAATGATAAAATGGTCAATTAAAGAAGACATGCATGAGAGTACATACTGTGCGATTACAGTTATATGAAATTTTAAAACAGGCCTTGCTTAATATTTAATACTTTTTCCATGTGGGATGTTTTGATACATAATAGCATATAAAATTATTTCCCTCACGTTGCTGTCCTGCCATTCAAATATTTATAGAATACTCCTTTTTTCCTCTATTGAATTGCAAAGCTCTCCTGATCATCTATTAAAGTCTTCAATATAATGTTGCCCATTTATGGGATATTTATTTTCAAAGATAGATCTAGTTATCTATTCTAATATTAGTACAGAGGTCCACTTTCAAAACTTTAAGTTTGCTATTTCTGATAGATAAAGGCAACATTTAGGAAGTTAGTAGCTTCATCCTTATAAAACTGTTTTTTTTTTCTATACTTCAATTATTTCAATATTACACCTAAAGTCTCCCCAGGAGTTAAAAGTGGATCCCTGGTTTCCAATTTCCAAAGTGTCCTGCTCGGTGTTTATTTACTAAAGAAAATGACCCTCTAGTCCCTCCATCCTCCTTATTTCTCAACTGGAAATATCCATCTCTGTTTGGAACTCAAAGCATAAATGTCTGAAAGCACTAGTCTTAGATTTAGGAAAAGCAACATTAGTAAGTCATTTTTAACTCAAGAGTTTAACTTCTGAGTGGAAGAAACTTTTTTTTTTTAACTTTAGCAAATTAAATTTGAAGACATCTTTAAGAAGGCAAGGGAAATGTTTATCCTATTCCACCCAGCCAACTCCTAATTCTTCAGATATCCTCTCCAATGTCATTTCCTCAGGAAGTCACTGGTTCACATGTCATACAGCCTCTTGGCCAAAAGGGCCCTTTCCTTTGAGTATCCATCACAGTTTGTAACGTTATCTTTGTTTGATGATTTAATTAATGTTTATTTACTCCACTGTCAACAATAACAGGCAATATTTTTTGAGTGCTGACTCTGATTCCAGACACTGAATTCTTTATCTCTAGTCCTGCCTTGTCCAGTAGAACATTCTGTGATGATAGAAAGGTTCTCTGTATGTGCTGTTTAATAGGATGGCCACTGGCCAAACATGAGGCTACTGAGCAGCTGAAATGTGGCTAGTTGACTGACACATTTAATTAATTTTATTTAATTTTAATTAAATAGCTGCATGTGGCTACTGACTACTGTATTGAACAGCACAGCTCTAGACAATAAGATGCTAGGCAATAATTTCCAGGAATGATTGTGACAGTTTTTGCTTATCATTATACCCTGATACTAGCACAATACCCCACACAATTTGTATTTATTGACTAAAGTGAATAACCCAGAGAGGGGTAGGATGGAGAGATAAGTAAAAGCGGTGCTCTGAAAGCAGCATATTTTGAAGAATGCTCACCTCCAATTCAATATCTGGAGCCTGTTTTGAATAAATTTTAATTTTTAAATAACACATATAAACACAAACTTAATAAATGAGTCTTGGCAATACATTTGGTAAAATTCAGATTATAACAACTCATATTTAATAAGAAGGGGATAGGAAAACAGAATCAAATAGCAACTTCTAATAATCAGCACTGCTCTGACAAAAAGTGAATTTAATGCCAAAATTTACTTTCTGGAATACATTCCTACCAGGAACCAAAAAATCCTAGTAGTTGTGTATAAGGCAGTGAATGACAAGCTCATGCATGTGCTTTACCCTAGAAAACACTCTAATGTTTTCCTGCCTTTTACCGAATGCATTTTTCTTATTGAAAGTATCTGTCTGAGCCATATTTAGTGTGTTTTTCATCTCTTTAGCTAGTATATATTTTTGTTGTCACTGCTCAGAACAACTAGATTAAGAGTAAAAGGGGACTCAACTCTGGTAATTAAATGTCAGAAAGTATTTCCCTGTTGGTCATTAATGCTGAAGTGTCTAGATATGAACTGTTAAACGTACTCATATTAAATGTATATTAAAACAACATTGCACGTACACTAGTAATAACTTTTATTAATAGTAGTAACTTTTAAATTTGCTAATGCACTTTCAGAAAACATTATCCACTCAAAACCTCTGCTTGATTTACAAACTGCATTGATTGAAAAAGCTAGAAATTTTGGCTTGAAATAAATAATAGTATCTCAATGCTTAAAGCATTTTATATTTCTTTGTCCTGTTACATCAAGCCACTGTAGTAAGAATTTGCACTAAGTGAATCTGAATTAAATTGCTCTATTGAAAATTGTTTTTAAATGGAAGTGCTCACTTTAGAAAACAGAGTTGTGTTATGCTGGGAAAAATCTGACATCTTTGCTCTTGTGTTGTTGTTAAGCCTTCCAGAGTTTTTAACTTAGCTTTAGTGTTGATTTCAAATTATGGCTATGAGAAACAAAGACCTCTAAATCAAATGTTTGTAGAAATAATAATCAAAGTAGAATGCCTTCAACTTTGTCACTATGAACTCAATATACTCTGTCTACATTATTTGTATTTTTGTTCTTATTGAAGGGATACAATGCTCTATGTTCTTATAGTAATAAGAAAAAAATCTTTATGATTTTTGTCCAACTGTAGAAATAAAATATGGTAAATAACAGATCTTAAAATTTTCAACTCTATGTAACTGACCACAACAAACCGAGAAATATGCCCATTTTTGCCTTATTGATTTTCACTTTGGAAAATATAATGTATCTACTTTGTCAATATATCTTACAGACCTCGTAAAAGGACCAGATAAAAATCAATAAAATAATATAATCTTCTATTATGAAAGAAGAAACCTGAAGTTTGGTGTTGTAGGTTTCTGTTAAAGATGTGTACACTTAGATATTTTAGGGCAATTTAAGCAGATTGTTTCTGTTCTGGTGATAGAAATAAGCGATCACCCAGTGTCTGGCCCTGCACCACCTCCTCCCTGCACATGTACCGGGGGATGCAATGACATCAGCACTAACAAATCTGAGAAGCACTTCTCCCGCCTTTTTTTTTTTTTTGAACAAGGCATAGGAAACAAAATGCTTCCCATTGGGAAGGTTAAGCACATTAATATCTATGAGGTCTGGGTGCAGCTGGCCAAGCGCTCCCTACCCGAACTTAACGGGCTTTACCTTGCACTGGCAGAGAGTACACTCGGTGCCATGTTTGATCCAAGAGGAGCCAGTGAAGCGAACCACATTCATCTCATCCAGGCAAGTTTTGGTGATGTCATTGCGGATGGTGTCGGCCTGGCAGGGGTCAGTGACACAGCGCGGGCAGCACTCGTTCTCTGGGAGCACACTGAATTCGCACTCCACCTCTGGGCAAGGCAGGGGCCAACAGTCAACTTCCCCTTGCTGTAAGGAAAGCAGACGGCAAGGGCGGAAGGGAAGGGGGAAGGGCAAGGAGGAAGCGAGGGGAGGGGGCAGGCGTTTATTTTACTGCGCGCTCAGGTTATCTGATGGACGTTTATGCTCAGGCGTTCAAAGCCACAGTCATAGGAATGAGAGCTATACTGCAGCTGGGTTTTCAACCGGTCCTCAACAATTAAACAAGAACAACAGTAAAACAAAAGCAGAAAACATTCTCTTAAAACAATCAAACGTGCACGCCCCTATCCTTCCAAAGAAAAAAGAGAATTATTTACTACGGAAGAGGTTTTTATTTAACTTTTTGCCTATGAGATGCCTTTTTTCTTTTAGTTCTTTTGATATTTTTCCCCTAACTTCACATGTATTCCCTTCTGCATTAAAGAAAGTTTTGTCCATTTATGAGAAAATAAACTGAAATATGAAGGGAATTTGACAGTTTTTATTTGTTCATTTATACATTTCTCAGTGTAGGGACTTTGGGAAAAAAATGAGGAACTGTTATCAGTCTTTTTTATTCCACATGGGAAAATTGTGTGAACTGGATCTTTCTAAAATGTAGTTCCCACCTGTTTCCTATTTTCTTCATAATTCTGAATCTCATCGTTTTCAGATGAAAGCAGCCTTCAGGCACAGAAACTGACCTTGTTCTTTCAATTGATTTTTGGGTTGAAAGTATAAAAAGAAAGCAGCAAAAAAGCACAGCCTTAAAAATATCCTCACACAGGGCCGGCCGAGTGGCGCGATGGTTAAGAACTCGCTTGGGATGCCAGAGGACCCCGGTTCGGATCCCACATATGAGGGCCAGTGACACTGCCCTCCACAGCTAAGATGCTGAACGACAGCTCAACCTGGAGCTGGGCTGCCATGAGTCGCCGGTGACGGCGTGGGCTGCAGTCTCTGTGGCAGTAGATTGCCATGAGCGGCCAGCAGCCAGCGTGAGCGGTCAGCAGCTGCAGTGAGCGGCCGTCCAGAAGCCGGCGACTGATCTGCCTCTCCAGAGAAGAGCGCAATGATGGTGCCAACTTGGGCCAGTGAAGCAACATCCTCCACAACTAGATTGAAGAACNTCCTCCACAACTAGATTGAAGAACAAAAAAAAAAACGACAGCAACTTGTCTGTTCCCCTTTCCCCAATTCCCCAGCACTGTTCCCATCCCCCCAATTTCCCAATAAAAATCTTAAAAAAAAAAATATCCTCACACAAATAGAAAAAAAACACTAGCCATAACTTTAAAAGTAGCATCAGTGAAACTTTCTTTTATAAAGACGCATAGACCAAATTTCCTTGCCATTTACACCACTAAAAAGAAATAAGAAATTTGGTCATATGAAAAAAAGACTGGTGTTTTCTTTACCAAGTCTGTATTTTCTTTTTACCTTCTGTTTCCAGTCGAAGTTTCATAAATATATATGGACATTCAATTTTAACATTCTAATAAGTATTTATTATATATCCATATTATGTGTAAAACAGGGTGCCCACCAGAGTAGCATCAACAGTAACAATCTTTAGAAGGAGAAAAAAGTGTTTTTGTTTATTTGTTTGTTTTTGTTTTTCTAAGTCTGAGCATGACTGATAGAAATGGGTTAACATGAGTTTGCCTTGGAAAAATTTTTTTTTCGTGAATGCCATTGTTCTCTTCATGGCAAGTATTTACTGAGTGCTTCGCACATGCTGTTAGGTGTCTGGAGCCTAAGTAAGCCTACACTGAATGAGGCTGAGGACACTGGGGCAGTGTTTTCTTCTCAGCTCTGGAGGCACTCCTGAGAGGCACACACAACATGGTGCTTCACGTCTGCCCCAGAATATGCCTTCTCAGGTCCTGGCTGTATTACCATCATCTTGTCATCCTAACCAGGCTCACTTTTTGTAACTGCCGACACCAGGGCCAGGTGCTGCATAGTGGTGGAAGCGGGACAGCCAGGTTGCCTGCCTGTTTAGATTCTGGGCCTACGCTCTTCCGGTACTTCATGTAGCTAAACTCACCAAGCAGCGGCACTGTTGGCAATTCTGGACCCAGGAGTCACCACTGTTGTACAAGGTTTCTCCATTTTGATGGAGGCACTGACTGCTAAGCCTTGGGTCACATTCAGGGCAGCAAAAAAGATCAACCGTGGGGTTCTCACAGTCACAGACCATCCGGCGACACATCACAAATCCATTCTGTATTTGAGAAGGAAATAAGGCAGTTACTAAAAGCCTCCATTTCTCAATATACTAATATCATATGTATGTGTGTGTGTGTGTGTGTGACTGTGTGTGTGTGTGTGTGTGCACATACACTGGGGGTGCCAAGAAAATGTATACACATGACTTGTATTCATCTTTTGTCATCAGTATATATTGAGTACTACAATTTTAATACAGTTTTTTTCTTTCTTAAAATGCGTATACAATTTTTTGGCACCCTCTGTGTACACACATATATAATATATATTACAGTCATATATTATATGTATAAAATCACAGATGTTGATTTGAAAGTTGAGATAATTCATACTATTTACCCAATATAGAGGATGCTATATATATATATATATATATATATATATATATATATATACAGAAATTGAATGCTAACTAAATTTTGTTTTGTGTGAGGGCATGTGTGTGTCAGTATTGGTTCTAGTCAACAAGTCTTACATAGTGTTAAGTTTATGAAATATTTTAGGCCTTATGTTTTTGTACAAACTGTTATCAAGTTCTTTCATAACAGTTGAGTCCTTGATACATAGAATTATTCATTTAACTCTCTTATTAACTAAGTACATAGAACATCTCTCTAAAATTGAAATATAGCTCAAATAGATATTTTTCACTCTTAGGCCATAGTATGTCTATCTGTCTTCATTTATGCATTTATTCAAATGTGATATTGTGACTACGGAAACAACAGCATTGTTAGCAACAAAATGTTATCGACATATGAATTGACAAAACACATTGTGGTATTTCCATACAATGAAATACTATTCAACAATAAAAAGGACCGGGTTACTGATAAATGTCATGAATATAAATAAATGTCAAAAAAGGAATTCTGAGAGAAATAGGCCAGACACATAAAAGTATGCACTGTATGATTCCATTTATATGAGGCTCTAGAAATTAGAAATCTATAATGACTGGAGACAGGGTTTGCTTGGGGCTAGGGGTGCAGGAGTAACTAAGAAAGGACAGAGGCAACATTTCGAGTAGATGAAAATGTTTTGTTGTATTAATTCTGATGGTGGTTAAATGGATATATGGATTTTTTAAAGTTCATTAAGTTGTATTCTTGAAAGATATGCAAATTATACCTCAATAAGAAAGATTAAAATGTTTTATTTATACCAACCTGACATGAGCACACAGAGCACCGGTCATTTTCCAACACCCAGATCTGACCATTGTGCTTAATTTTTCCATCATGGATGCAGTCCCCTGTACAATTCTTTCCATGAGGACATCGACAATCATATCCACCATCCAAGTTAAAGCAAATGGTATCGTTGGCACAGCTGTGTCTGCCGGTTCCACACTCATCAATATCTGTAGCCAAGAAAAAGCGGCCGGCAATGTGCTTAGAATATGCTCAAACAACTGCAGGCAGGTAAGTTGTCTCCTGACATATAGTAGTCAACTGTAAATTAATTTTCATCTTACTGGCATGCATTTCCTATATAGTGCTGACAAAAGCAATGTTAATCATCTAGGGATTTCACAGGAAAATATTATCATGCTTGACTTCAAACACCAAATAACCTTGGTTAGATTTTTAACTTTTATATCTCTGTAAATACCATTAGGCTATATGAAACATTTACTTTTTTTATTAGCTTTAGGTGTACAAAACAGTGTAATAGTTAGAAATATATACCCCTCCCAAAGTGATAACCCCTCTTCCAATCTACTACCCCTCTGACATCATATATAGATGTTATAATATCATGGACTCTATTCCCTATGCTATACTCCACATACATATATATATATATGTCACAGGATATGGAGTATAGCATAGGGAATAGAGTCCATGGAATTATAACATATATATATATATATATATATATATATATATATATATATATAATTATAGTTCCATTTTTTGAAAGCTAAGAATAGGACTCAGGGGCCGGCTGAATGGCTCAGTTGGTTAAGAGCTTGGTCAAGAGTGTGAGCTCTGAGTAACAGAGTTGCTGGTTCAATTCCCTGCCTGAGCTGAGCTGCCGCTGAGCTGCCAACAGGTGGCAGGATGGCTCAGCTAAAAAAAGAAAAAAAGAAAAAAGAAAAAATAAAGAAAAAGAAAACAAAGAATAGGACTCAATTTATCAAACAAAAACAGTTTAGCAGTAGAAATTCTAAAAGCACCAATGATTTTTTTATTGGGGAAATCATCCTCAATGTTAAAATGGTATTATGGAAAATACTTTCTTAGTGGAAAATAAAATGTCATGGGACCCCTAAGGCATTTTATTCAGTTTCAAGCCCTATTCTCACAGCCATGTCACCGACATGTAAGTTCTTTTCAGGGCTCTGCTGAAGTGTCCTGCACTTACAGTCCAGGTATTTTCACACTGTCTTTATACCCTGCCCCTCACCCACAGAAGGGAAAGGTACCATCAGCAATTACCATGTCTCTCACAAAGAATCCACCACTTCTTAACTTTTCCATTTCAGATTATCGTTTCATCTCCTGCCTGACTCAATTGGCAACTGCCATTCCTCACCCGACCTCACCTATTCCATGGCAATCACAGCCCAAAGCATTTTCATACAGATGAAAAGCAAACATCTTGACCCACAGATCAGGTCCATAGGAGGAGACGTGATTCATTTTATTTGTCCCTGTAATTTAAAGGTCACAAACCAAAATACATTTCAGGGATATTCTATGAGGGGCAGTAAGCAGTTATTTCCCATTTCATCTGTTTCCTCTGAGTAAAGGTCAAGAAAGAAGAAATTAAATCACAGCAGGAAAAGCGGGTTGGAGAGAAGATGGAATGTACACCTTTTAACTAGGGGAAATGTACCCTGATTTTACTTCAATGTTTTAGAAATAGAGTTTAGTAAATATCTTTCTTAAGTGGTTTGATTTCGACAACATTGGAGACATGGGTTAGTCAAGATTATACTGTAGCCATATTTAAATTTTTAAATACTTAAATTCTGTCATATATGCATTCCTGAAAATAAGCCACATGATATATTTCTATTTACCTTGATTTTTTTAATAGTTCCCATCTCAGCAAAACCAATGAATCGAGACAATAACTGAAAGGTTTTATTATAACCACAATGAATTATATTAGCTTAATTTGTCAAGGCCAATGATGTACATAATTATACTATGATCAAAAGGAGAACTGTTAGCCAGTATAAGGATACTGTAAAAACATTTTTAAAGTACATTGGTTAATATATATTTTTTCAGATTAGAGGAAAGTTTTTCTTGGTAATGGAAATGAAAATTTTAAAGTAGCTCTATATTTGATCTATTCACAATAATAAAGTATATTTGATGAGATGGTCTTTGTCTCCTGTAAAATATTCTTATAACTAGGAATTATAGTACGCAGGAAAAACATTAACCATTATTTGGTCTCTCTCACCACTTACTCTACAAATACCTCTTACTACATAGCCCTTTAAATATACACTATAAGGACATTATTTCATCAATGGCAATGGCTGGATTTTTACAATTACTTCATTTTGCCTGACATTTAAAATAAAAGCTCTGATATGTGCTGCATGTTTTCCCTTAAAGGCAGAGAGAGTCTTTGGATTTGCTGCAGAAGACAAAGACAAGCTGTCCAGGCACAAAAAGAATATGTATTCTTAAATAAAGTGCATTTACATAGAGAAATAGAATAAAAAGTCACTGACAATAATAGTTGACATGTAACACATGGAGAAATTTGTAGGCAGAAACATCATGATGGACTAATTATTACCTTTTGTTATCCAATGGGATTTCAATTAATTTTAACTCATCTTGCCTTTTCTGCTTATCTACACTGAGTTTCCCTTGCAGGGACTATTCTCAATTGGATGGTAATATAGAATTTTGGAATTTATTTTTACATATAGTTTTATTAGAAGGTAAGTTTCCTAAATTAAATATACATGAAGGGTATATATTCTGCTTTGGCAAACCTACCATGGCATATAAAAATTGCAACTTTAAAAGTATGTATAAGGATGGGCCGGCTGAGTGGCGCGATGGTTAAGAACTGGATTGGGACACCAGAGGGCCCCGGTTCGGATCCCATATATGAGGGCCAGTGACACTGCCCTCCACAGCTAAGATGCTGAACAACAGCTCAACCTGGAGCTGGGCTGCCGAGAGTCCCCGGCAACTGCGTAGGCTGCAGCCCCTGTGGCAGTGGGTTGCCATGGGCTACTGTGTGTAGCCAGCAGCCAGCGTGAGCGGCCAGCAGCCGCAGTGAGCGGCCGTCCAGAAGCCGGCGACTGATCTGCCTTGCCCGGGAAGAGCGCAATGATGGTGCCAACTTGGGCCAGTGAAGCAACGTCCTCCACAACTAGACTGAAGAACAAAAGGACAGCAACTTGTCTGTTCCCCTTCCCCCAATTCCCCAGCACTGTTCCCATCCCCCCAATTTCCCAATAAAAATCTTAAAAAAAAAAAGTATGTATAAGGAACTCATACAACTCAACAAAAGAAAACCCAAACAATCCAATTAAAAAATGGGCAGAGGACCTGAAGAGACATTTCTCCAAAGAGGATATAGAGATAGCCAATAGGCATATGAAAAGATGCTCAACATTACTAATCATTCCAGAAATGCAAAAAAACCCCACAATGAGATATCACCTCACACCAATTAGAATGGCTGTCATCAACAAGACTAATAATAACAAGTGTTGGAGAGGCTGTGGAGAAAAAGGAACCCTCATACATTGTTGGTGGGAATGCAGATTGGGGCAGCTGCTATGGAAGGCAGTGTGGAGGTTCCTCTAAAAATCAAGAATAGAATTACACCTGAAACCTATGTAACTTTACTAACCATTGTCACCCCAATAAACCTTAATTTAAAAAAAAAAAGACCAATAACTTCTTTAGTGAGTGACTGAAAAAATAATGTTGCTAAATCCAATGGTCAAGTCTCAGCTCTTCTCTAACTTGATCTAGCAGCAGCATTTGACACGATTTATTCCTTCTCGCTAATAAATTTTCTTTATTTGCTTCCTATCACATGCTTCCTAGGTAGCTTTTTGGGGATCTTTCTTCTGCCCACATACACATTCTTCAAGTGCGGCAACTAAACTATGGATAAGATTTAGCCAAGCAAAGAGATGGTAAAGAGTGGTCCAGTCAGAGACAAGAGTCTGTTTGAAGCACAATGTTTAAAGCCATCAAGATGTGTGGAAGAAACAGAATGTTGGTACACTTGACTGTCCAGGGAAAGCAGAGTAAGTAGACATGCAGCTAAGGAGGGATTCAGGGCCCAAGTAAAGGTCATGTTAAGAAATATGAACTTTATCATAAAGACAATACAACGTCATTTTAGGGAACTGCAAAAAAAAATCATAATCAGATATACATTTTAGAAAGATTCCTTTGGTTTCATTTTGGTAAAGGGATTTGAGTAGATTAGAACTGGAAGCCAGGAAATCAATTCAAAGGCTGTTTCAGTAGTCCAGGCAAGAAATGATTATATCATGAAATCCAACACTTATGTAGTGGCAATCTGGTAATACCAATTACCAGATTCTATGTACTTGCATATAATGACTCATGTAATCCTCTCGACAACTGGGAAGATATAATTATTATCCCCATTGAATAGATCAGGAGATTGAGGCATAGAAATGTTGCAGAAAAGGTATAGAGCCCAGATGGGAACCCAGACAGTCAGGCTCCAAGTCTGTGCTGTTAAGCACAATGCTGTATTGAATGGTAGTAGTGGGGATACATAGAAGGAAACAACAAAGACAGAATCTTCCAAGACAGAAACAATGAAGATAAAGCAACTTAGTGATTTGTTGGCGTTACACGTTAGGGAGAGGGAGGGGTCATGCACAACAGCTTGGAAAATATGGCTGATGATTACTTACAGAAAGAAGAGCGAGACTTTGCTGAGAAGTGGAAGTGTGTGGCAGGGATGAGGCAAGACATGAGTTAGTTTAGTACACTGAATTATACTTTCCTCTGGGCTTCCACGTAGAGCTGTCCAATAAGTAATTGGATATATGGGCCTGGAGTTCAGAAAAAGAACTGGGCCAAAATATGAATTTGGTGAAGATACACTTTTATCACTCCCTTTCTCAAAAGTAGCCCTTCAGACTTAAGTTTGAACTTCTTAGTAAGGCATTTAAAGCTACTTTTTTTGCATGCACTCTTTCCCTATCTCAACTTGCCAATAATGGCATCATCCGTTACATCCTAAAACAAATGCTAGATACTCAAGCCTTTCTTGATCCCAAACAGGAAATAATGTCTCTCTCTGTTTGCTTACAGCTCTGAGTTTATATTTTTTCTCAAGTATTTATCATTTTCAACCTTGTACCTTTCTCCTCTGTTAAGA